ACTTGGTATCGGTGAGTACCTAAAATGAAGTACTCGTACTTGTACTCAGTCTTGAAAAAACTGGTATCGGGACACCCCTAGTGAGCTTTTTTACTTTTGCCATCAGGAGGTCTTGACAGTGTAAAGACTTGACAGAAAATGACATGAATCCAGATTTTTGCACAGATTATGGCTTTTAAAGACTATGGTCTTAAACTTTTGATCAGCTGAAAAAATSATGTTTGAGTGTAAATGCAGTTTTCAGAAAATTCCCTGCTCAAAAGTTCTTGTCTCTTGCACTGATTTCTTCTTTTAACATTGTGAAGCTCTACTTAGTACTTAAGATCCAATAGTGCAAAATGCAAATTCTTGCACTTTTTTTGACTGGTTACTCACTCACATCATCATGCTGCTTGTCCAGCAAAAACAAAGGTTTTAATTTAAACATTTTTTAGTTAACCCAACATAGTCCAAAAGCTTTAGATTATTAATCTGATGAATTTAAACACTGATGAATAGCTCTTCTGTCCTCAATGATCCCATCCACCGAGCTTTAACCTTTTTTATATTTAATCCTGACAGCGTGGATCGATCTAATCCATCTGTGGAAGAAGATGTTCATCATGTTGATGAAACACAGGTGAGCAGAGCAGTTTGTTACCTGTCCAACACTCTGCAGAGCCTTCAGGTCATTCTCTGACTTCTCATACTGCTTTGTCTGCTCTCTCAGCTGCTCTCTCACTGGTGGAAACAGGAAAACACAGAATATAAACTGGACTTTACCCACAGCAACACAAACGATGTAAAGTGACAGTAAGTCATCGTCACTACGGTTAGCTGCCTTGTTAGCATAACAGTGAGTAGCACAAAAGGTTTTTGACTATTTTAACCATGTTGTTATTGATTTTTACACAACTACACGTTTCCTTTAACAACAGTTAAAGACTTGTATAAAGTGAACGGTTGACTGTCATCTCCTCAGTAAAAAATATAAACTGCATGACAAAGCACAAGTTAGCCGAGCAGCTAGCTAGTTGTGGTTTTCAATTAGAGGCACGCGATAAGATCGTATAAAAATGTTCATCTGTATCGTAAACGAGTATTTATAAATATGTATTACGTTCTTTCAATCGTCCGTCAACTTCTTTGTGTTCCAGTAATTTTTTCCTGTAGTCTTGCAGCGCTTTTTCTCTGGAGTCCGCCATGGCGTTCCGAATGAATAATGAGAAGTGGGGACGTCACTTCCGCCTTTCTTTTTCCGGTTTGTCGGGTTCGTGTCCAGTTTAAAAAAAACAGCGTTACTGCCACCTGCTGGACTGGAGAATGATTTTTTTTTTTAAATGAAAATGCACAACAACACAAAAGTTTTATATAACAGCGTGTTACATTCACCTAATGTTTAATATGGAAGCCCATTTTCCGCCACCCTGATAAAAAATAAAACGTATCTCATAATTATGACTTAGCTATCTCATAATTATGAGATAG